CCCCCGCCCCAACCGCCCTACCATTGGTGGCCGGGCCTTCAGCCTCTCAGTCCCCAGGCTCTGGAACTCTATTCCCCCAGTGCCTTCGCCTTGCTTCCTCCCTCAAGGCCGGTCTCAAGACCTTTCTCTTTGACCGTGCCTTCAGCTCCCCTCTCGACTCTCTACCTCCTCCTCGCTCCCTCCCTTCCCTCACCCTGACCATTTCCCCCCAATGCTCGGGTCCTGACCCAACTGTACAGCGCCTTGGGACGTCCTCCTGAAAGGCGCTCTATAAATGGAATCTTGTTGTTGTTGTTGTTATTCTATGCACATCTATGCACTAACAGACAAGCAACCTGGTATTTAAACTGGGCCTTATCTAGACTTTATGCTTTTTCTGGGATTCTCTTGGCCTAACACATAGACCAAAGTGAGAAACGCAATAGGAATACACTCAAATCGACAGACGGATAGCTTACCCATACAATAGGGTAAAAAAAAATCTGTGCGATCTATCTGGGTGATCCACCTGCAGTCTATCCAAGTTATGCAGTAGCTAGGGAATTCTTCACTGGACAACTATCTGCTTTCCTGTTTTTTTTGTGAATCAGGCTGGAGTGTTTTTCTTTTTTGTGAAATCTAAGTTGCTGTCTGGGTTTTTGTTTTTGTGTCTCTGATCTTTAAAATAAGTATACAAGAATATTAAAGAGTGAGCAAAGCAAAAAGTGACCCTGGTAACCTCATATTGCCCCTTTATAGACACCTTAGATTAAACTGCTCCTATCCAATATCTCTACTCTTTTTCAGGGGCCATACTGAATCTATTACCTAGAACTTAGCTCACAATTTTAAACAAAAATCTGTCCAAATGGGATTCTACCCAACATATTTCTTCTCTTTCCTGTTGAGTTCTAGGCCTCAAGGTTGTCCTCCCGATGTCCTCCTGATGTGAAAGGCACTATACAAATGTAATCTGTTGTTATTCCCACAATTCTAACTACACCTAAAATTCTTTTCCATTTAATGTCACCTTGTAGATACCAGCACTTTGGTAGAACATCCACCAACTTCCTTTCTCAATCAGGAATTTGAATGCCTTTGTGCTTAATTGAGGTTTAAATTTAATTTCACATTACTTAACATACACTGACTTCATTTAATCCCTTGGATCTGTTCAACCTAAAATGCTGACCTGGAAATTGTATTTGCACCTGCCTGAAGGGCAGCAAGATCTAGGCAATGATTGTTGAGAAGCATGACCTCATCTGAACAAAAAGTATTTTGCTTCACATTTCTATCCAGATTAGTATTCTAGTTCCATTTTGTAGCATGTGATTATTTCACATTTCTGCTTGCTGTCTCAGAAATTGGATTTGAGTTACATATATCACTACATTGATATCAAGCAGGTTTTTTTTGATGGGAAAAATCAAGGAAATACACTATTTCAATGCTCTTCTCGTTGGTCTCCCCAGCTCCACCATACACGAAGTTCAGTTAACTCAAAACTCTGCGGCTCGAATTCTGACCCACACAAAACTCTGTACCCCTATCACACCAGCCCTTGCTAGGCTCTACTGGCTTCTAAATTACCGAATGGATCGATTTCAAGATCCGCTCTCTCGTTTTCAAATCCCTTCATGCCCTGACACCTTAACTACCTATCCAATCTGCTTAACACCACTCCACCATTCATTGCCTCCAGCCTTCTGTTTGTCTCTCGTCCCCTCCACCATCGGTGACCGTGCCTTCAGCCACTACGATCTGAAAATCTGGAATTCTCTTCCTCAATCTCTCTGCGTTGGCCCCCTCACTCCCCACTTTCGAATCCCACCTAAAGACCTTCCTTTTTGACTGTGCTCAATGTCAGACTCCGCTACCGTCAAGCGCTCCCGGACTCTACCCCCACGTGAAGGGTGCTATATAAATAAATGCAAGTTGTTGAACTGCATTGTTGCCAAAAGTCCAAAATGTAGAGTAACGCAAATTAGCAGACAAATAGCAGTAAATAGCAAGTAGCTTATCTGCACAATTTAGTTTTTGATTTCATATTTTCAAGTTGCGAACTATAAAGTCTGTCTTCGTCTGTCTGAGGTACATACCTGCAGAATTTCAGAGTGCACTTGTGATATTTATCCACAAGAAAGAACCTAGTGAGACTGAAAACTACCAAAGATTTCAGTGGTTCTTAACACTGTGATTTGGCAATCACAGCCTATATCAGAGATTTCTTGCTCTGGAGGGCAAGTTCCCACAATAATAATAATCCTTGCATTTGATATAGCGCCTTATCACAAAAGCTTGAGAAGGCACAGCTCTAGTTTGCGAAGGCACCTTGGAGGTGTTATTTGGAAGACACAAGGGGCATCCTTTCCACTTGGCGATTTGTATTTGTAAAGATACCAATGTCCTTTAGCCCATTTACAAAGACCAAAAAGTGAGGTAGATTTCTGGTAAAAAGTGACTGCAAAGAGGGTGCATTCCAGTCTTCACTGAACTGTAAATAAAATGGAGATAAAATCAGCTTCATGACAGGAAAACCTCTGCCAAGGCCCCTCACATGAAGGCATGGATTTATAACGTAATCTTTCTGAAATTAGGTGAGCAGGGGAAAGAATGCACACACCATTTCAGAGAAAGGGAAGGTGGTAAACATTTGTTGAACTGTGTCTGGTTTGGATATTCTTAAGGGTGGTGATGAATTTTCATATGTCTGTTACCCGGGTGATGAAAAAAAAGTCTACTAGAAGTAGAGGTCACAAACTACTGGTGGGGAGGATGATAGGGGAAAAGGATCAACTAGAGCATGTTCATCATTGGCGGGTGAGCCTTCAGCCTCTCTGCCTTCACACTCTGGAACTCCATCCCAGTCCCTCCACATCAGCCCCTCCCTTGCCTCCTTCAAGACCTGTCTCAAGACCCTCCTCTTCGACCGTGCCTTTGGTCACCCTGCTACCCCTACCCTCCCTGCCCTCCACCCCTCCTGATCCCAGCCACTGGCTTGGGTGTGGATGCCTGACTGTCCTCCTGACGTGAAAGGTGCTATAATTTGTTGTTGTTGTACTTGAGGTCCTGGTTTTCATCCATGAAATAGAGCTCTCAAGGCTTAGCACGAACCACAAAAAGACTGCTATTTGTGCTCCTTTCAGAACCTGGAAACAGGGCAGCTCAATACACAAGGAGCAGATCTACCCGTGGAACCAACCCCAAGGATCACCCTGAGGTTCTACTAGCGATCAATGCAGCAGTTCTTTAAATTGTTCAATGGGACAGCCCTTTGCTGTCGAAAAATTTGTAGAAGGTTTACTTGAACTTTCCACCTACATCAGAAAGAACACAATCCCAAGCAAGTCACGCGCCTGCTACAGTGAAGCAGTCTGGCATTTATTATCAAACAGTAGGGATTCTTCTCTGAATGAGCAATGCTCTGAGATGCCCATTGGAGAGTAAAACGTGTTCAGTCAGTTTTGTCACAGGCAACTGTTCTCTAGTCTAGGGACTGTATAACAACAGATCTGCCCCAGTAGACAAGATACCCTATATGATCATCTTCCCCTGACAACTTAGGATCTAAAGCAGAGTCTGTTAATGAAGTGCAAAAGACTCAGCTGAAAATTATGTTATATTCAGTAGTTTGTTCAACTGATTTCAAGGGAACACTTCCCGATATGTTCCTGTAAGTAGTCTACATGGAGTTGGGCAAAACAGATCATACAAAGGAAGAAAAGGATGATTTCTCAAAATGTGGAGCGTTGGCTCCAATCCCCGCTACCTTCAAACATCTGGCATACTAGAATTAAATGCAACAAAGTCATCAGAGGGTCCTTTGTCCAACGTCTCAATTCTCCTCTTCCACGTTGCTGTAAAGATAATCGTAAATAATTGTAAACGATTATCTACATAAAATTGGTCATTCACTTTATGTTTTTTCGCGGGACATTGCCGTGTGCAAATTGGCTGCTGCTTTCACCTCCACACTGCGATACAGTCACAATGCTTTACAGTAAAACATGTGAAGCATCTGGAGACTTCCCCCAACATGAAAGACAAGACACTACATCAAATGCAAGGATTATTATAATTTTCATATGACAAACTACACACTGTATTCAGCATATGAAGGTGGCTATCAAATCGCAATTGCTGTACAGAATCCATTTCCCAAATTTGGACCAGCACAGAGAGAGAAAGAAAATCAGAGGTGGAGGGTGGAGGGGGGGGGGGAGAGGGGGACTGGAAGCAAACAAAAAAAAACCCTAAAAGTTTAAGCCACTGGGAAAAAAAACTCCAAAAGCCAAAAAACAGGCATTCCGAGTGGCATGGAAACCAGCTGCATGGGTCGGAAAAGGGGAATAAAAATAATAAAAATTTAAAAAAAAATGAAAAGAAAGGAAGGAAGGAAGGAAGGAAGAGAAGTAACTTTCTGCACAGCTCTTGCCACCTGAAGCTCGGTCTCTAGTTTTCTTTTTTTTTTCGGTTCTTTTTCCCCCCCCCCCCCCAAAAAAAAAAATCCAAGACTTTGCTAAAGTTTTCTTTTAGGAACATAAACCAGGCTATGGACTAAGCCCACTGCCCCCCTCCACCACCACCTCCTCCTTCTCCTCCTCCTCCTTCTTCTCCTCCTCCTCCTCCAACTTCATTGTTGCATCGCTGCCCCCACAGGAGTTCACTCCAAACCTGATGACGCCTCATAACATCCCCGCACCTCAGGCTGTGTGTGTGGGGTTTTTTTTGGGGAGGGAGAGAAAGAAAGGGGGAGGGGGAGGGGGAAAGAGTCCAGACACCGGGGTCGCTACACAGCCTCCCTCTCTCTCCCCCCCCACCCACCTCGGCCTCCGCTACAGAGGTATCAGCCGCGCAAGGAACGAGGCAACGAGCGTCCTGAGAGCCGCCCGCCCCACACAGAGAGAGAGAGAGAGAGAGAGAGGGACCCGATCACACAAAGAGGCGGCCCGGCCCGACCCGACCCGGCCCGGCCCGGCCGCCGACCCCCGGCAAAAGCAACAGCGGACACTTTTTACCTGCTGTTTCCTTCTGGCTGCCCACCCGGTTACCGGGCCCCCGCACACATGGCGGCGGCGGCGGTGGCGGCAGCAACAGCGGCGACACTTTCCTGTTGCCGTTAAAGAAAAAAAAATTCAAAAGCAGCTCGCGCGGCCAGAGCCGCACGAATTGTCGCCCCCTTGTCTGTCAATGGTGTGTGTGTGGGGGGGGAGGGGGGAGGACCGGCAGGAGGAGACGCAACATACACAGGGCATTGTGCGCGGCGCATCTCGGGAGTTGTAGTTCGTCCGAGCCGCTTCCAACGCGACCGTTCGAGGCCGTCGAACTGCAGATCCCGGCGGCCAATGCGCCCGTACACCAGAGGGCTGTACTGCTGGACCTTAGCTCCCCCCCCCCCCCACTCCATCCTGGAGCTATTTAAAGCATCTGTAAGATCAGCAGTTAAGGGAATGGGAGTTACTGTTGTTGTTGTTTCAGTTTTGTTGTCAATAAACAGTGTTATTATTAAATAATGAATAAATGGTATTTTGCTACTTGAAAAACTGGTACTGACTACTGTTACTGTAAGGATGCACATCACCACCACCACCAACACCAACAACAATATTTGCATATATTGCACCCTTCATGCAGGATAGTGTCTCCGAGCGCCCCAAATAAGAAACAAACAAGAAGTTGGCTTCAGAAGGACCACTTGCTGGATATTATCTGGATGATGCTGAAGTCCTGTAGCTCACTGGTTAGAGCACTCGCCCCGCCAGCGAGAGGACCTGGGTTTGATTCCCGGCAGAGCGAAATGTTGGGCAAATTTCCTTACTCCGCACGCCTCTACCCCGGTTGGCATATTGTTTTTCCGGGGATAATAATTCCACCAAAAAATAATAATAATTTGGTCGCTCAATCCACTGTTAACTGTTTGTGGGACGCTGCTGTGTGCGATAGGCTGCCGCGTTCTGCTCACAAAATTTACAGTCAATTCACTTTACAGTATGTTCTGTGAAGCCCTTTGAGACATCTCGAAGACTTGATAAGGCACTATATCAAATGCAAAGATTATTATTAAATACAAACAGCCTGCCTGCTTACCAGAAATTAAGCAATTCATATGGTTATGGCAAAGCAATGGTTAGACAAGCTCAGACTCCTCAATCTTGAGAGAAGACAATTCAGATGGACCTCATGGAGGTGTTTTGAAGTAAACAACAACAAAATTACATTTGTATAGCGCCTTTCACGTTGACCCAGAACAATACTATAGGATGCACCAAGATAGCAGAACAGGAGGACATAGATTTAGTTGGCTTCAGAAGGACCACTTGCTGGATATTATCTGGATGATGCTGAAGTCTGTAAAAGGCAATTTCAGAACAGAAGTCAAAATGGCAAAATACTGCAGATGCTGGAAATCTAAAATAAAAAGAAGTCAGTCGCTGGGAACACTCACCAGGTCAGGTTATAGAGAGAGGAAAATCAGTAATGTTTCAGGTTGATGACCTTTGGATGAAATGGTTCTGATGAAAGGCATCGACTTGAAATGTTAACCCACTTTCCTCTCTCCATAGATGCTGCCTGACCTGCTGAGTGTTCTCGGTGACTTCTGTTTTTAATTTCAGGACAGATACTGGGGCGCTTTTGCTTACCTAGAAGGAAATTAATGACTGGAACAGGTTGGCAGGAGAGGTGGTTTAGGCGAGAACATTGGACTCATTTAAAATGTAGTTTGATGCTGTGAGAGAACGGTTGGGTGGGTGTTCTGGAGGGTTGAGATCAGATGAGCTGAAAGGCCTTCTTCATCAAATCCGATCTTGTAAATGCATTCCTGTGTGTCAAATGGGAGAAGTAAGGTTAAACTGCTGTTTTTTTGATAATCTGGAACAATCACATTGTTGTGAATGTTCTGAGTATCTTAATATTTTCTCTCTTTGGCCCCAACACAGATTACTATCAATCCCTGTTTTTGTTTTTGAGCCCTACATACTGCATAAAATACTTGAAGGAAAAAGTTTTAAAATGTTGGCAAGTTTTTTGATATGGGGATAATAATGTTTTGCTATGTTCGATAATCAGTTCCTTACATCACAAGGAAATTATTGTCAATTATTGTGAATTTCATTTCTTAACTACTGTATTACTGAGGTAATGTTACAAGGCAACTAGTATGCAATCTGTCACATTTAAATGATCCGGGTTGAACTATATAGTTTCTGATGTTATCCAGGTAGTTCATTGGTAAATAAACTAAAGGAAATTTATGTTATATGGTTAGTTTCTGGTCTACTGTTTTGAAATGCTGCTTTTAAACCCTAAAATAGTTAAAGTGTGGATTCCCTTGGACTATCCCAGTGTACAAGGTGCTACTCAGGTTTCAGAGGCAATTCAAAGAATAATTCCCAGCGTTAGAGAGATGAGCTGTGAGGAACAACTGAATAAGATATGGCTCTTCAGAAATCAAATCTTCAACGTATAAGGCTTCAATTTATTCCATGAATTTGAGTTGTGCTATGTCTAAGAAACCAAGTCAAGGCCAGGTATCTTCCAAGGGAAGAAGAATGTGGATGAAGATATCTACTAGGTTGCATTCCCCCCATCTGTGGCTCGGCTGTTTGTTCTCAGCCTCTGGAAGTACCTGGGGTTGGGGGAGAGAAGAGGAAATGACCTGGTAAGGAAAGATAATGGGGAAGTAAGAGTGTGCACCATTAAAAAAAGAAAGGTAACAGCTGTGTACCTGTTTTAAGGTACTTGATTTCTTTGATGCTTAAACTGTATTAAATCTCAGAGATTTGGGGGAGATGAATCTATACTTGTACATACTACCAGAAGCATAAAGGGGGAGACTAGAAGTTATTTTAAAAAAAACAAAGACAAGTGGGAGGTGGAACATGTTGTCACAAGTAACTATTGAAGCTGAGTCAATAATGACATTTAAAAGAGAATTAGATAAATATTTGAAGAAATGGTTTAATAATGGGTATAAGGAAATAGCAGACATATTTCAATAGATAGCTAAATAGTTGGCATAGCATGTACACGATGGAACAAATGCCCTCCTTGTATTCCGATTTGTAAGTAGCCTATATCTTGAAACTACAGATGCTTAAATGTCACTTGACCCCGTGCCTTTCATGTTACCAGGCAGTCAGACTACTCATTGTCTGTAGAAATGTGAGGAAGAAGTAGAGAGTATTTCATTATTTCACTTACTTTTGTTCCAAATACATGTCATAATGTAATTTTCAAATTTTTCAGGTTCTGGTCAGGTGAATACGCCATTAAAATATTTCTTACCTGCTCACTGAGACTATTTACTGTGTGCAATTATAATAATAAAGTGATCCCAAAGTCTCTGTGCAATGTTTGTCTTAAATTATTCACCTTGAATTGAAAAGAAACACGTTTCATGTAAAGGAGACATGTGTAGCGTGCTCAGAATCAAGATATGAAGATCATTTTATCAAGAGAGACACCCAAGGGATGATAAATGAACCACTTTTGGATTGGATTGGATTTGGCCAATTTCAGGTTCATTTTCAGACATTCAGATATTTGTTCAATTCTTATAAATGTTATGGTCTTGTTCCAGTCCCTTTTTTTAAAAAAAACACACCTATGTTTTGTGATGCCTTTCAAATAAAATAAAAATGCTTTCCACTCAGTTTTAAAAGTTTTGAACTTTATTGGAGGACCATTACCTCCATTATCTTCACACTATAATTTCTCTCTGGGGTTTTAACCTGCTGGTCCATTTACAGAGAATGCATAGCACAGAAACAGGCCACTCAGCCCAAACAGTCCACACAAGTCTTCATCTATTCTTTACTTCCCCCCGCCACCACCCCCCACCATACCCTTCTATTGCCCTCTCCCTCATGTGAAGGTCTGGGAGGAATAGGAGGAAACATCTGTATTCTTCATTTTATTCTGAGAAGGCTGACAACCTGATCAATGAGAGTCAAGTTCTGGCAATGTAAAAAAGTATTATGTTTTGAAGGTGAGCCATGATCGGACACAATAGCCGCATTAGCCAAGGCTGTAATCGGTGAACTGTATCTTACTTTTCCTGTTGAGTTGTATTGCATTTTGTGGCACATCACAGAAGACTTTGAAACACTTATCCCTGAACAGCGTCAGTGTTCACTGTTAAATCCATTTGTTATGGAATCATCTGCTAAACTAAAGAGTGTAGAATAATTAGAATAATCCACTTGTCATGCTTTACTCCAATTTAATTGTTTGTGGATTAACAAGTCATAAGTAGAGGGGATCCCACATATCTTTTGATTGCAAATCTATTCGTATAATGCAGTATAATAATATAACCAGTAACTAGTATAATAGTATAACCAGTATTAGAAGATATATGTGAAAGTAGCCCGTAAAAGATTTTATTCTTTTGATGTGTGTTACATTTGTGGTTATGAGACACTAACCATATGTAAATAATAGAGATCGAGAGGCTATTGCTATTATTCACGTTGTGCATAAAATATAGTATGGTCCTAGGAATTTTCACACATCAAATGATATAAAGGTTACGGTCAGAAATAGAATCAGTTCCATCTACCCACTTAATCTCAGGATTCTTATTGAAAAAATAAGGAAAAAGTTAAGAGGAATTTCTGCATTCAGAAAGTTGTTTGGGTTTGGAATTCATTACTACAAGTGGCTGCAGAGGCTGGATCAATAGAATCCTTCAAAGGGGAACTTGATAAAAACCTGAGCAGTAAAAACATTAAGGGATATAGGGAGAGAGCTGGGAAGTGGGATTTCTAAAAAAAAAGGTGATTTAGAATAACAGGCAACAGAGACAATGGACTTTTGGGGGGTCAGCCGGGTATCTGACACATGGGGAAACGCACCACCATGCTTGAGAGTATCCAAATCAAGCTGAGATTTCCATGCATCCCACCTAGACATGGAAATCCAAGAGATAGCTTGTTGGAATGGAATGCGCACTCTCTCCCTGGAGGGACACATCCTGCTTACCTAATTCCAGAAATGACACTGAATTTTTTGTTTTAAGTACAATAACCGGAAATATCACAAAATCTGTGATAAAACAAG